AAGGAGGTCATAAAAGTATCTCGATGGACGTCGCAAGAGTGCTCCGAGATACACATGTTTGTAGACTCATCCCAAAGAGTTCTGGGATTAGCAGTATACGTACGCAGAAGTAATATCACTCCATCCAAACCACAATTGATATACGGAAAGACAAGATTAGTTCCAAAACGAGAAAGCAGGAATCAATCAGCCAATATTCCTCGATTAGAATTACTCGCCATCACAAATAGAGTAAAACGATGTTATGCGTTTTACGATTCCTTACGAAGATGTCAAAAAAGAAGAAGTTTGAAAGGGTTCTCCCGAGAGAAATTTGCATCTAATGAGTATGAAAAGGTAATGCAATTGATAGTCAACATGGCACAGTTAAAAATAATGCAAAAGGAAATCGAACACTGGGGTTTAAGAAAAGACCAGAATGGAATCTGGAGATGTGTTGGAAGACTTAGAAAGGCTATGCCTCGAATTGATTCCGTATTTCATCAACAGAGGGAAGATAGCAGAACTGATCGTGAAGCATTACCATGAGAAATTATTTTATGCGAGCGTGCACTACAACTGGTGCAAAATGAAACAACGGTATTGGATCCCGCATGGGCGGTCATATATCAAGAAAATTTTGAGAAAGGTTTGTAAAGGTTGTACTATGTGGGTGGCTACGCCATTTGGACAACCAGACTTTCCTCCTTATCCGGTTGCCAGAGTTGTCGGAATGAGACCGTTCGAAACAGTTGGTTTAGACCTGTTTGGGCCAATTCTAATAAAGGAGGATCATGGCAAGCCCAAACGATGGGTGGCTCTGTTTACATGTTTAGCCACTCGAGCTATGTATCTCGAAGTAATGGAAACTATGTCTACTGAACAATTTGTACAGTTTGTACATTCCGAAGATTTATAAGCCGAAGAAAACAACCGCAATACATAATTTCCGATAATGCCAAGAACCTTATAGCAGCTTCTAAAGTACTTGTAGAATCGAGTACAGCGGAAAATGAAACAATGGGGTGGGGATTCATTACTCCAGGCGCAGGGCAGCGTTTACGAAAGAATGGTTGGAGTAGTTAAAGGATCTCTAGGAAAAGACATCGGTACAAAGCTTAACAACGGAGAATTGATAACTTTAGTCACTGAACTTGAGACGATTATCAATGAAAGACCCCTGGTGGACCTGGAAGAAATAGGTTTGGTGTTAAGACCTGGGGATTTCTTGGATCCAGGCTCAGCTCGAGGGGAAAATTTAACATAAGAATGGGCTTACCGCAGGGATAAGACGATATGCGTGGAAGAAAATTTACAAACGAAGAATTGAAACATCAATATACGATCACATGCAAAAGACTTGATCATCTATGAAAAATATGGCGAGAATACCTAGAAGAGCTAAGAAAACGAGCTCAACGCAAACACCGAAGGCCTCGCAGCCGTATTCGACGAGCCCTTGAGCTGGTGTTGTTGAAAGGAGACTGTCCCAGAAATACCTGGAGGATAGGAAGAATCGACAGACTCATAAGGGCCAAAGATGGTATATGTCGATCAGCGGTTGTAAGAATAACGGAAAAGAGCTAGTGAGAGCAGTGGGACACCTCTATTCTTTGGAGGTTTCCAACCGATGATAAGGTGCAGACCACGTTCGCCTCGGGAGTGTCGCTGATATCGCGAGTAGAAACAAAGGGACGATAATCCTCCTTTT